AAGTTTTTTAAAATTTTTAATTAAATACCATATGAACTTCTAAAAATTCAAACTCTATTATATCTTATTTTTTTACATATTATAAAAATTGTTAAAATCTTTAATAAATCTCAAATAAATACCTAATAATCTTTCAAAATCTCTCTAAAATATTAAATAAATACCCAATTTACTTCTGAAAATTTTTAATAAATAATTAAATATTTAATTATAATTTTAATTATCGTCATCTTAATTTAATTTTACAAATTAATTAGGCAGAAAAATGGAAACATAAACCCAATAACTTCTCCTTTTTTAATTTAGTTCAAATTAGTTGAATAACTTTAATTATATAATAGGTGGAATTTAAATTCAATTATATTTTACTATATTATAATAATACTTAATAATATAACTTGTAAGTCTACACATTATTTTATACCCTTTTAAATATATTTAAAATAATTGCATAAGTGGATAACCAACTTTTATATTATCCTACCATTAGTAACATAAAACCATAAAATTGAGAATATATCTCGAAGTAGAAGGCTAAGTAACAGAAACTTACTCAGTAAAGAATTTTGATTGCGATGACACCTTTCACATTCTAGTTTATGTGGTGCTATCAAATAGGGTAAGGACTTTCTTACTAAGGAGGTAGTTGTATTATAAATTCAGTCTCTTATAACCATCAACATACTTCATATATTTACTCTGCTTGACCATTAGTTCAGAGTCTTTTTATTCAATTTGTTCAATTAACCTTTCGTAAAAGCCTCACTCTTCGGCTTCATCATCACTCCTTTTGTGCTTTGCTAATTGTTACTTAATCTTTAAACTAGTATAATTTTAATCTTGAACCCTTATTTCTATAAAATTCTTTTCAAAATAAGCTTTATATGATGTACTTTAATCCATGGCATAATTCCTTTTTAACTTACAAGAGTTCAAAACATAATTATATTTTATTTTATTTGCAGTTTACGTTGATTAAATAAATCCATGAAATTCAACTTTAACAAGTCAATTAGTAGGAAAATCATTCTTTAATAAATATTTATCATCCTTATTAATTACTCCCTCTAATTCAAGTTAATGCATACAATAATCACATTTGGTTAGAATATTGCATGCACTATAATATGAAAGTAGTAACTTTATACCTTAACTTTAATAATTCATAGGTGATCTACCCAGTATATCAACTAGTTTTTAATGACATAGTAATTTAATATAACCAATGGGTATAAAACTTTGTTAAACTTTAAAAGTTTTGTTACAAGTGAATTAATAACAATGATTTCATGAAAAAAAATTCTCTTTGGACAAAAATTTTTCTATAAAACCAAAATAAAAAACCCTTACTAACCACTTACATTTCTTTCAGTCAATATGCACAATCACCCCTTTTGGGCAGGTAATCACACACACTAATTTCAATGAGCAAACTCTCCAGAATCCTTATTGACAAATATACGAATTTAATAGATGACCCATATTGGCAATACCACCCACATCAATTCACATATTTTCACTAGAACACTTAGTTATAAATAATATAACATTCAAGAATCTTTATTGGAAAACATATGAATCTCAATAAATGATCTATTTTGGTAGTACCATCCACATAAACTCACAAGCTCCTACCGGAACACTTACCTATAAATAATGTAACATTCCAGAATTCTTATTGAGAAATTAACCAATCTCTTACTAGAACAAAATTTATTAATATTAAAAAAAAATTTAAAATTTTATTAAATTTCTTTTCTTTGAAATTTTAAAATTTCATGCACTGCCATAACTAGGCTGTCACTAATATGCATAATAGACGTGCATAATTATTCCTTGAAAGTAATTAACTACTAACAAAATCTGTTGTATAATCAACTATTTAACCTTAAATTATAAGTCATGAGTTATCCCAAACTTTAATTTGGCAAAACCTCTTTAGAGGTTTAAAAATTTAGTTAAATTATAGATTTCATATGCTAGAATCTACATATGAAAACAAATAATTTTATCCTGAATAAAATATCAGTATAAGTAAAATCATATTCAGTTACCTTGTATGGTACCCTCGTAGTTTACCTTGATACAAGTTAATGAATTATTGAAATTGTAATTCTCAACAATTCTTAGTGCACCTTTAATATATGTTCTCTGGAAATTTTCTTAACTTCCATAAAGTTAGTAGAAAAATAACAATTATACTTTCTCCAAATGCATAGTTAATTTGTATAGATAGTTTATTGGTAACTATAAATATGTTTTTTAGATTCAAATATGGACACTTTATTTTCTTACTAGAAAACCCATTACTAGGAAACTCATATACTAAACCACATATGAAGATAAATAACTTTCATGAGAACTAAAGTTTCACAATTATTTACTTATTTGATCATAAATTTCTTTATTAATAATCAAACTTAAAAACTTTACAAATGAGCAGTACAACTGATTTCAAGAAATTTACCTCAAAGATATTACATTATACAAATAATAGGTATATAAACTCACGTACCTTCAATTGTGGCTAATTGCTTTAATAAAATCTTAAAATTTAATTTTCAATATGTTTCATAACATATATTATGTGCATGATAATATTCACAAAAGGATATTAAACCAAAAACAAGATGATTTACTTGCTACTAACTATATATTTTTAACCTTCAAATATTGACACATATTTTATATATTGCACTTAATATGTACTTTAATATGATGAAACAAATTAATATATTATATAAATAATTATTTTAATTTATAAAATCAGATCACCTAATAAATATTTTTGTGTGCACATATAATTATTAAATAAGATTATATTAATAGATATTTTTCACATAAAATCTGATATATTGTGTATAAATATTAATACACAATTAATATGAAAAGGTTTAATAACTCCCCATCCTCAATTGTCACAGATTACCAAAGTGTCGACACCTTTACCCATCGGCGGAGAAATAAGTCGACCATTATGCAATTTCTTGAATAATAAAATAGCAATACCGGTCCCTCAACTTCTATTTGAATTTTTTTTTTTTAACCTTCGGCGACTTGAAGCAAAAAACTAAACAAATTTACACGTATTATTATTTAAGGTTATTCTCATAAAAGATTGCATTCTGGATCTCTTTAGAACAAAAATTGTGAATTCATGCAAACAAAAAATTATGAACCTTATAATAATATTTAGAGTTTGATTCTTTTTAAAAAGCAATCATTGCCCATATTAGTATCATAATATGATTGCAAGATAAGATTACATGCTGCCACATCAAAGTAAAGCAATTTTAATCACAGAAAACTGTCACGCCCCAGAACCCAAATCCGAGAACGTGGCAGACGCCGTGCACTCGTGAGACGGGTCCCACAAATGCACAAGGTTCGGAACTTATCCAATTCACAAAATCTCAAGAATAAAATCAACCTTACAAAAGGATGATAAAATCTAAAACTTATACCCCAATTGAATGGCTAGCCTTCTAATTCGTCACTCCCCTCGGTTTCCCCGTCCTCGGTTTCGCTTCCTGAAATGGTGGACAAGAAAAAACTATGAGATAACTCAGTAAGTAAATATGGATAACCCTTGGGTAAAACTTTTAGCATGCCAGATAAACCATGTAAGTATAACAGACTTTTAATGATAAACCATTAATGCGGAAATCGGATTCAGTTCAATAACAAAACGTTTCATGACAAACCGTTACATGCAGAAGAAAACTCAGTTCAGTAGTCTCATCTATAAGTCATGGCCAGTGTTTACAAACTCCCA